TCTTCCCACAGCAATGCTGTTTCTAGACTAAGGGAAAGTTGTATTGATCCAGACAGGAGCAGATTATTATTAACCTGATGCGGAACTTCTCTTGACTCATGACACTATCTCCCTCCTAAATAACCACATTATTTTCCCGCAACAAAAACAAAGCAGAACGTACCAAGGAAATTCCTACACGGAATAACATAATGAACTTAAAAAACTATAATCATGTGTCAGAGCTTTCATCTCTTGTGCCCCAAAGGTTCAAGACAATTTTAACTGCACCATTTTATATCTACAGTAATAGATCACATTGAACACCTGCTTGCACACTAGATTAGCAACAGCTCGAACAGTTTGCCTTGGCTTAATGAAAATATTAACACTCTGTGTTGGTATTTCTTTTGCAATACTGAGGAAGAAAAATAGAATGCAGAAACAACAACTTGGCTAGAAATCAACATACGCTGGAAACGCTTCCTGGAATTGGAAACAAAACAAAGCAAAATGGTGAAGAGACTTTGGATGAGAGGATTAAACAAATACCGTAAGTGGATACAAGAGACGATTACCTCACAGACGTAACACAAATTAGTTTTTCTTTTGCTAGTATATCAGCTAGCACATCAGTTATGTTCAGTGGACACAAGTAAACACTGTTCACTTTTCAAGGCCATAACTGAAATGCTCCCTTGACCATACAGTTTTTGATTCCAATGGCAGGTCAATGATATAAACAAAATTGTTAAAACCAGTGATTTTATGCAAATTTAGTATACTGATGATCAGGAAAATGCTAGACTGCCACATTCTTGTGATCACTTCCGAATAAAACAATTTGAATCTGCTGGCATTTTAAAAATAACTTGTAGCAAATAAACAACAACCACGCACTTCTGAATTACCATGGTAATTTTTTAACGCCATCCACTTTGTTTACAGGACAAAAACATACCATTTCTCTTGTGGTAATTTAACTCAGAGTAGTTTTTTTGATCAAAGATTGTTCTTTTCTATAGAGCCATGTATAAAAGCAGTAGAAGCAAGGAACTGACATCAGCATAATTGTAAAAGCTGCTTTCTGCAGAAAACCTTCACAGTAAAAAAGTAATCAACCTGCACACGTCAATGGCTGCAAAATTCAGAAGGAAAGAGGCCTGGGATTGTAACATTAACTAGTGCGATGAATTCTTAGTCCAAAATTATTTAACATTTGTATCAATGGACTTAAAAAAGAATGCAAACATCACTGAATACAGGTAACAGAATCAAAGACCAGTGAATAACATGAGACCTGAATGCTGAGTGAGCAGTGTGGTTTCTGTTCCAGGGAATTCAGAAAAAAAGGGAAAAGAAAATAGACAAAACAAAAAAAAAAGAAATTAAATGTGTGGGGTTTTTTAATTTCACAGAATATGCATATTAAAAACATAATTACAGAACAAAGGTTTTGGTAGTTCCATTCCACAGCAGACCCCAGATTCCTGGAGCTTCAATACTCCATGTTATGGACTTGGGAATCACAGGGGCCCAATTCGAGGGCCTAGAGCCCTTACTCTCTGGTATTTCATACTTAGGGTTGCTTCAGAGACATAGATTATTCAGCAAGCATACCCAAGAAGTCATATGTTTCAACATGGCAAATCATATGCAGTGTTACATATTTAAGAATGTAGGATATAAATTATTAGATTGGGAATACCAGTCTTGCAAATCAGTGATTTGAAAAAGTGACATTACAGAAAAAATAAAACCAAACCCAAGTAATAAACATACTCCCACTCCAAGTCTATGGTTAAAATGGGTAAACAGTCCTTTAAATATTTAAATAGAGAGGTAGTAAACAGGAATAGAAAGGTTATATTACCTTTCTACCCAACTCCTGGAAATTTATGTCCTGTTCTGGCGTATATACTTTAGGAAGGATGCTTAGGATATTTTAGGATTAAATGAGGAGTTGAAAGAATTATGAGAATGATGAAAAGATATGAAAACACACTCTCCAATGACAAACCCAGGATGCTCATTCTATTTCTTTTAAGCAAAAGAAGGCTACAAAATGATTTGATTATAACCTGTAAATTCCTGTATTGGGAGATAAAATTGGGTAACAAAAGACCTTTAAACCTAGAGGATAAAGGTACATTTGTAACTAAGTGGGACACAGAAGCCAGGTAAACACAGGCTAACAGGTGAAAACTTTTAACAACAAGAGCAACCAGGGATTGGAACAACTTAACAAGCCTGGTGGAGTATTCGCTAGTACCAGGACCCAAGACAAACAACGGGGGCACTACAGGTACAAGGTCAACCACAGCCACCGGGTAGGAGCTGCACTTTACTCCAGGAAAATCCACTACCTTGTGGCACGTAGTGCAGAGAGTCACAGTATTCGCTCTTCATCTGATATTCTAGTATGATGAAAACGTTGACTTCTTAAAAAAAACCCAAACAAAACCCCAAATCAAAATCCCCAGTCTCTTTCACTACTATTAGTGCAGTTTTTGGAATTACCACTGTTCCTCTGCACTGAACTCATGCTGATCCAGAGGCTCCCACTTATAGATAATCCAAAATCTTTGTGAAAACGAGGTAGCTGAGGCTTGTAAAAAAGTATTTTCTAACAGGACAGCAACTTTTTAGTGATCTTGAAGATGCAATTTGAGCATGAAGTATGTTTTCATTGTCCTATTTGTTATCTATAGTTTAATAAAATGGTACTGCAGTCAGACCTGAGTTCCTTGTGTTTTATCTGTATTCCCCTGTTCTTTATTTGCTCACTGCAGTTTATTTAAGATTGTAAGAAAGGTTCTGTCCAATTTATTACAAAACCTCTGGCTCTGCTACGTGGCAAAGACATATAGCCCCATCTGCAAACTAGATTAGGGTTTCAAAGGCCAGTATCCTTGGGTGCCCTCACCACAAAAAAGGAACTGTGTGGTACTGCACGGTGGCTTCCAGCGACAGCACCAGCAATATTCAGCTGCAGAGGGCTGTAAATGCTTTGTGAAGGGTTCCTTCCCATTTCTCTGGGGACAAATCAATGGCCCAAGCTTCCCCTTTCTGTTTAGTTCATGCATTTTCCTTCAAAGCCAGTTAGCAGATCAATACTGATTTGTATTCTGAAGAATGAATAACCTTTATTTATTTTTATAAATAAATAAGCTCCTACTAAACTTCCAAAAATATGCTGAAGATTTAATGGCAGGATAGAGACAGACATCCTTTAATGGTAATGATGCACAAAAAGCATTAGGAGACACTGGTGGAACTTGTGGTGTTAATGCTTCAGGTGTTTTGTGGACGGGTATCCAAAGTACGTGAAAAATGCCGGTTGTCAATTCTAAGTTTGCTGTTGCTCATTAACTTCCACACCAGAATTTTGAAGAATCTTCCAGTTCCTATTTACATCATTTATTTTTGTACACAATTTGGAAACTAGACAGAATGGGTAATAGAGGAAAAATAGAGGAAACCAAGGAAAAACAGAGATGGCACCTTAAAAAAAAAAGTTTTTCTCACTGCACAGTGTCAGGAATTTAATGTATACTGACAAAGAAATGTCATTGAGAGATGAGTATGCTCTCAGTACATGGAAAGCATTGCAAATTTACCACACTGTTCTTTACAGAGTGGAAAGTCCTCCGTTACACAAACAACTTTTCTATTTTGTTCTGTAAATATTTGATTTCAAAGGCTCTTGCACTGATTAGATTCCTTCTAGGAAAGATATTACAAAGAGGACAGTTTGGGGACACTTGAGATCTCCTTGGCTTCACGTATTAGGGAAACACTACATATCAGTCTGCCTTTGCAAATGGAAATCTCCCCACTTTCAAAAACAGCATAAAACTAAAGTTGGAAATAATAATGTAAGAGAAAATGTTTATCATCATGCCTCAATTACTACAAATGAAAAAGAAATGGAATAGCAGTTCTTGAATCTAGGGACCTGATTTAAAGTGCCCCACAAGTGCGTGCTTTTAATACTAAATGACATCGTCTCTGAAATCTGTCAGACTCACCTATACGCTGCAGCACACTAAGGAGTTTCAGAAGCCAGTGGACCAAGCAGTTAGATGGTGTAAAAGGATGTAAAGGCTCCATTAGTTTCAATTAATCCACACCATTTATAATGCAATAATCCATAGTGATGTCTTACAACAGGACACCAAGTTACTTGTCTCTTAAAGGTTCAGTGAAGCTCCACCTGCCAGTTTTTCACAGCAGACTTCCTGACAAGCCCACACTGCCATCCCCCTCAGACACTGGCAATCTAAATTACATATTCTTTGTTAGTATATGAAGAGAATTTCAATTATTTCTATTGTTTTGCTGTACAGTTACTGTATGTATATTCCTCTACAATGACATCTTTTACTGAGATTTAAAACGTAAATACTTTTATGGGGTGAATGTGATAGTGTATCTAAAATATGTTGTGATCTTCTAACTCCATTTTCTAGACACATTTAAAAACTCGCAAGTTACTGCAATTTTCCTTTTACATCCTCTTCAGCAGAATCCCCTCCTTCACCTTTACTTGAGTTATTGAGGGCTGTATGTTAAAAACAGTTACATGCATTAGGGCTCCCCTTACCTCAAAGGAAAACCGAACACCTCTCTCAAGTTTTCCTGCCATTATCAGGCCTTTCAAGCACCTGTAGTAAAGGGGTTGTCTGATAAGACTTAGCACACTGCAGTGACATAGATGCTGGAAAGAAGCTGCTGCTTCTTCCCTTTCCGTCAGTAGCAAGTCAGTCAAGGCAGAGATACCACACTCCATTTCAAACATGGACATCTTCTAGTTAAAGGAGGTGAAACACTGGTGTCCATCCCACATTTGTAACAGCAAAATAAAGAATTCTAAAATATTCCTTTGAGATCTAGTTACTGGCCGGAGAATAGGAATCAGTGTAACAGCAGCAGTCCAAAAAAGGTTTCAACACCACTATAAAAACAAGACAGTCTCTCATCACAAGCACGGAGCGACAACTTTTGTTATTTTTACTCACATGGTACAAAGCGGTTTCTGGTCCAGGTGTGCCCATGACTTCTTGTCTCAATGAGTCCATTTGTAAACTAGGCAACAGCGAGTAATGACTTGGACTACTACTCTTGTCTCCCTTCTTTTTGGACTTTTTCCCAGTGTCCTTTTTGCTATTCCTTTGAAACATGTAGTCTTCTTGACCTATTTTCTCATTGCTCATATAGCGAAGCAATGAATTTTCTGTTGAAAGAAAAGTAATGCAAAACATCATTGTGAATTGTTGTATGTATGTTAATCCTGCTTCCAAAATATATAATATTCTTGCTAAGATCTACTGTCAATTTTAACTCTTCAGGAATATTTCATTAACAAACCCCATTTGCTTCTTTGGTCTGGATATAGTAAGAAAGCAATCTTTTGGTAGGGAAAATTCACGATTCTTGCAGTTTAAAAGGAACAGAATATAAAAGAGTAATCACATCAGTAAATTTTGTCTTAGAGTTTTCAAACAATGAGCAATGATACACTTATGATCATACCTGTAATCTTTTTTTTAAACAAGATCCTAATGAATACAAATGATAGTGGTGCCATACATTTAAAAGTAATTTGCTTTGAAACATTCATTTGAGATCATTCACCGTATCATCCATACTTCCCCAAACAGCCTTGCAGCATCTACCAGCTTGTAGCTGAGGGACATCCTGAGCCAGAAGCAATGTTTGCAAATTTAGGAAACCTCAGCAGATTTGTCTTTCACGAACTTGTCTGGTCTTTCCTTGTATTAATGTGAACTTTTAGTATCCACCACCTCCTGGTTGTGGCAAGAGGTTCGTTAGCTTGAACCCAAAATGCACGAGGAGCCAGCTCGTTTTCTTTTTAACCAGCACTTGACGGAGACATTTCATGTCTCTCGGGTCTTGTTTCAGAAAAAACAGTGACAAACCTATTTCCTGACTTCATTCCACACAAGATTTTATAAACCTTCACCACGTCCTGCCTAAATTCTCCCAAACTGATGATGGCCAGCCTACTGAATTGACCCCGGTTTGGAAGCCACTCCGTACATCTGATCATTTTTGTTGTATCCTAAACCTTCTTCAATTCTACTCTATTCTTAAGAGGTGAAGAGACCGGAACTGCACACACACCCAGCATGAGCAAGAACTTACACAGCAGCATAAGAATACTTCTTAACCTGTCTTGTATTCTTTTCTTAATTATTCCTAACAGTGTTTCCTTTTTTGATCCCTACAGAACATTTAGTTAACATTTTTGTGGAAATATCTATCATTACTGTAACTGGCAATAATAGCCATCTCAGAGGTTATCATTTTGTATGTGAAGTTACGTATCTGAGCCTCACAAACCAGAATTTTGAGGAACTTATCCTTGATGATCTTGAGGTGAATCCCATGAATGTTTTCCATTCAAAAAGAACTCATGAAGACAGAGAAATATGTTACATAATTCTCTTTTAAGCCTAACAATATTTATCAGTAATAACCACCCATTTGTCCTCTAATATTATAAAATTAAGGCCAGTCTCAAAATGGACTAGATAATACAGCTGAATAAATGAAATGCCAATATAAAGTTAAGCCAAACTGCAGGGCTTTGCAGTCATGATTTTCTTTTGCCTGGTTGAGCAACTTCCTCAATCCTAATAGAGGCTCTGCAAAAAATTAAGTATGCATCATGAAAGAACCCAAAACAGGTTCATAAAAATATATATCTAAGCAAGCAGCACAATGAGGTTGAAATGTATAGCTTAAAGCATGACAAAACCCATAATGCCATGTACAAGATGTGTGTTCAGATCACTTACCTCTCCTACTATCTCTTTTTATTTTATTGGGGTCTTCATAATCCCCCACCCAGTTATATTCTACTGGCATAGAAATAGGCCTTAGTTTCCCTGGAAACAGAGGAAAAAATTGAGATCATGCACTATAAGGCAGCATTAAACTAACATGCTTTAGAAGAAAGAACAATTTATGTGCTAAGCTGCTATTCTACAGGGTTGCTTATGAAAGAGGAGCCAGCATCGCCTCTGAACAAGAGGTTAAGATAGGAGTTCTGTTTTCTTTAACAGACAAGAAGCAGCTAAGTATTTAATGGATTTTTTAAGTTTAAAAAATAAATCCAGTGCCCTACAAAATCATCAGTGGACTGATGTTTGCGACTGACAAATGCATTCAAATTACTTCAGTTTTCACTGAACAATATCTATTTATTATTCTGGAAGCCCCTGGCACACACATGGAGAGAACTGTTTTAAAGTGCATGTGAATTGTTGGTGAGAGAAATGTGTCCACATCACTAAAGTACCTTCACAAATAGCATCTTTGCTGGTGGGCTTAAAAGATCCATCAGTGGCTGAGTAAGAAAGGAAGCAGAAAACCTCTACATGTAACTTCTTTTGTAGCATTTCATCCACAGAAAGCAAAGTACTTTACTATCAGTAAATTCACTTTGATTTCAGACAGGAAGAAACAGAAAAGCTGAAGACTATTATATCTTTTAAAGTTTGATTTGGAAGCTGCTGAACTGATTTTAAAAAATGCTGTGAACTATGATTTCTGCTTAAGGATTCCACAAATACAGTTGGAAATTCAGTGAAAGTGTGTTAGGCAACTCAGTGTGGTTACTTAAAGTGGTTTGAAGGTTTTAGCAAGTTAAACAGTATATTGAAACAAAACATAGAGTAGGATAGCATATGGCACAGTATCTGGCAGAATGAAAACCAAATGTTTTCACAAGGTCAACCCTTGCTCTTTTTTGAATTGATCTACTGGCCACAAAACCAAAAAGTAGCAGAGCTTAAAGTAAAAACTTCAGAAGCCTTGTTAATTATTTTAGTAGAAAACCCCTACATAAAGGTGATTGGTCTTATTCTGCATTTTTGAGGTTAAATCCATGATACACTGCAAGAGAAAGACGTGTTTATGATGAAAACAAATATTCATACGTGTCGGTCTACCTATTGAAGTATGGTGTCCATGGGAAATACACCAATACCATGCAGGCAGCATAACGGTAAAAGGTTCTATCTATTGTCTTTTAAAAAAATTGACAAAAAAAGGTGTATGTTCTGCAGAGACCACAGGATCAGGTCACAAATACATCATTGCTCAGGAAATACAACATACATATTTAACTTCTTATTTTTCATTTCTTTTACTATTGATAGACACATATTTAAGTCTGACTGAAGCTGGTGAGATCTGGAGCACACAGTTAAGAAGTCATTTCCTGAGTGGGGATGTATTTGGCTCATATTTATTTGATCAGAAGTAACTTTCAACGGTTACTCTTTCTAGAAATACAACTTTCTCTTCTTTGTGAAGCTGAACTCACAGTATCTTACTGAAAGGACCTGCACACTTAAAGATACAAAAGCTACATCATCATGTAAAGTCTGATTGTTATCAAAAGCTATAGCCGTTAACAATTTTCTACAAAATCTCTAGCTGTTCAAAGTGCATGTTTTTTGTATCTGGCAGTAAAACCGCAATGACCAAATTTGTTTCTTTCCTTAAACTCAAGTTTCATTTGCCTGCTACCTCTGCTAATCTCCTTCTTGTTAACCCCCATGGATTCCCTAAAACTGTTTTCCTTGGTGACTACACTCAGGAAAATTTCTTCCTTGGGATGTGAACAGAAGCTTTCTGAGGCCAATTAGCAAAAATTACACAACAGCTGGAAGCCAGTAAGAGCATGAAAGAGAAATCTTGTTGTTAACATTGTCAAAAAAGTCAAAAGATTCCAATAGAGAAATTAAGGGCCCTGTTAACCTCTCACGAAGGAGGACTGAGAAATAATTAAAAAAAAAAAAAAATTAACACCACCACATAATTAATGAGTACATGTTGAAAACAATTATTTCTCCAAGCCTTGGAACTCTGTTTGACCTTCTTTAGTGGGTCACCATAAGCCAGAAAAGTGTTATTGCAATTTTCCAGATTTCTGTGAAATCCTAAGGTCATGCCTAGCCACAAATCTTATGCTAACAAACACCATGTGGGAAACTTTAGAATTTAATGCTGAAATGGTAATATTTTTAGAAAATACACTTAAATTAAATGGACTCAATGGTGTGAATTCATTAAAAAAGAAATGAGATCAAAAGTGAAAGGCTGTATAGCAAATGTGTTAAATAATCACTGATTTTCAGTGCAGTCTTTGATCCATGTATTTATAACTCTTTCTGTAATAGAAAAAAAGGCTAAAAAAGCTATCCTGTAACAAAATAATGGGTTCAGCAGTCCTTGAAGAAGAAATGTGTTCTTTTTCACTCTAGACCACCAGTATTAAAATTTAACATCTGGAACAGAGAGTACGTCTCTGTTAATGGAACTGACTGCATCCACCAATTGTAACAGTTGAAAAACTGGAGTAATATAAAATTGATATATTCACTTTAAAAACTTAGCAGTTATTTTGTACATTATGGGCATGGTCAGAAAACATTTGAAAACACTTTAAAATCAAAAGAATACTGAGGATTTTGCAACAAGATTGTGTAGCTGTGTAGAAAGGGTGCATTTTACGAAAATGCATACTTCAATGTTGTACAAGCACATTGCTCCACGTCCTGAGGACACTTTACACAGCTCAAGCTCAATTCATGTCAAGGTTCCCAGGTGATTTTGGAGCTTGGCTGCATGATGTACAAAATCTACACTTCCTCGTAGATTAAGTCTATCTTCTTCTCAAAGGGATATGATGTCAGGATTACTGTAACAACTCCAACATACAACCTGTGCTCAGTTTAAAAATGGAAATAACAGAGCAAGTAGGGTGAAAAAATATTCAAGTGTGTGTTCAGTTAATACCATAGTAGTCAAAATACATTTTTTAAACATGACGTTTCCTCTTCATTTTCTTCTATATCCTAACAAGTCTATGACTGCACAATTTTATACTTGGCAACAGAAAACCAATTCTCCCAGTCCGAAACTGAAACAAGTTACAATATTAGCAAAGGAAGAGTTCCAACAGATTCAAGGGAAAATAACCTGGAGCATAAAGGTTTGAGGAGCAAAACTCTCACCAGAAATTATTTCCGAGTTCTCACCCCTAGTAAGTCAAAATCCAAGATGTGGAAGTAGCATGAATACACATGCATGTTTACATGCAAATTTCTTTCTTAGACAACATATAACCTCAAATAAAGAGGAACTGCTATATATAGGAAGTCATCACTTCCCACATAGGAAGTTACAGGATATAAATACAGTATTACAAAAAAGCATACTACCATCAGTCATACTTCATTTCTGGGACTAAAGAAAAATTATCGAGTTTTAGAGAGCAGTGCAGCATGAAAGCAGTATGTCATCACTTGGTAAATCTGAAGTAGTTTTGATCTTTAAAACTATTACACCTGGGTAAATTTTTCTAATGCTGAATTCCTAAACCTATGCAAGGCTTGCCCTTATACCAGGAGAACAATTCCATCCTGTATTTTTAGTAAAAATATATGGGCTTCTGCCAGTTTGGCTTTTTTTTGATAAAATCATACTGAAGCATAATCTGGAAAATTAAGCTGATAACAAAATTATAGAACTTATATTCAGAAAAATCGTCGATATAAAACTTGTCCTCCCTGTCACTGTAATTCATTTTTTCTTGCACAGAATAAGCTCTTAGGTTGAAATTGGACGAAAGTAGTACAGAATTCTTAGCAAAATCAATGGCCGCTGAAAATATTTTCATCCTTAAAAACAAAAGCAGATGCACGAAAATCCTAAAATCAACAAATGGTGATTATCCTTATTAGATCAATGCCATACCATATGTTGGTGTGCTCTCTCTCCTTCCAGGACCACTTGTTCTTCCTTTCTCATATTCATAGCAGTATAAAACTGCATCTTCTTCAACCACATTAAAGCGCTTCCGATATTCCTGGTCAAGAAATGAGTTTGGAGATTCGGATCCTGTATGAACCGGCTTGCCGACTATATGTCTGCCAACATCATCACACGGGAGATTTCCCTTTTCATCCCTTTAGTAAACAAGAGAGGTTTTTAATAAACTGGGATAAGACATTGATCTTTTTTTTTTTTTACTGTGAGTATTTCAATAAACATGGGACTATGTCAGTATTCCATGCAAGCAGGAAGCAGATGCCATTGACCAACATCAGGATCGCATATCATATATATGCATATCTATGCATGTATGTGCCAGTTATCTCACACATCTCTGCTTATTCAGTTCTTTTACAGACTGTATCCATCTTATTGGTTTCTCTTGAAAAAAATCATAGAAATAAAGCTGATGTGCAGCTACTCCTTTTTCTTGTTTTTTGGAATCTATCTAGCATTTTGTGATATAGGGCAGAGAAATAACGTTGACCTTACTTTTTTATACTTGCATTTTTAAATACATCAGATAGTTTTAAGACATGGCTATATGGCAAGCATGGACAAAATCAATCTAGTTCCTTACAAACTAACCCCAGAGCAAGAAGAAGCAGGGACCGATGATGTACGGACATTTGACACAGTCTTGCACAATCATTTCAGGCCTAGGAGTTGTATAGGTGCTTCCATGCAGTACCAAACGGGGTGTGCAGCACCTGATTATGGGCTGCTCTCCCAGGACAGCAACGCATTGCAAGGCACATGCTTTGCAGTTTGTGTAAGGATCCCCAAGACCATTGCTTATTCCTTCCCCGCTCCCCCACCCAACTCTCTGAAAATTCAACCTACTCAAAGGCGTCAAACAAGACTGGGGTAGGAGCCCTCTCCTCGCGCTGGATGAAGCAGAGCTCAGTAAACCTGCTGGTAGGACTGTGCCTGGAGACGGCTGCAAAAGACCTAATCAGACAGTAATTTCTGGGCAGCAAAACGCACGGGAGGCAGCCAAGATTGAAGCCGGAGCCTCGTGCCCTCGTTGGAGAGCTTCTGCCCCTCTGGGGGGGAACGTGAGTTCCGAGTTGGACAACGTGCTGACCCATGTCCCCTTGGCACCCTGAGGGTCCATCTGAGGAGAAGGCAAAGCCTCCCCGTGGGACCCAGGCAGCCACGGAGGATGAGGAACGGCCATCCCGCCGTGGGTGCGACAGCTGTACTATCTGCGGGTATCGTCACCAGGGCGGCACGGCTTCCAGGTTTTACAATTTACATCAAAATATCAAGTCTTTTGCTCTATTCTAGAAACAAAAGGAGGGTTTGTTTGGTTGTTGTTTTTTTTTTTTCCCTTGGAACGGCAACAACAAACTGAGAAATAGATGCTGAACAATTTGATAATACCCAAAATAAAGACATGCTTAAATATAGTTAATCATGGACAAAAAAACCCTGATGAAATGCCAAAACACATTATTCAGAAACACTGTACACTATGTGACAGGTTTGTGAAACGAAGTAGAGTCCATTAGGATTAAGCTGATAAAAAAAATTCCAATGTACAAAGCTTAATCTCTCTGTAAGATTACAGCTTGTACTAATGTATTATAAGATTTAATCAGAATTGGTCCAAACTACTGCATTGTCATCATCATTTAAGAAATGTTATTAATAAATAATCAAAATGTATTTTGAAGATCTCAATTTCTACAGCAGAATCTAGAAACTGCTGAGCAGTGAATATTCACTAAACATACTTCAACAAAAAGGATGCATTTCTCATCAGATAAAAGTATTTTTGTGGTGGTAAACATGATCAGGAACAGTACAAAGACACTACTTCTTTTTAGATAGTGTAGTTTCAGGAGCAACAGGTCTTTACCATAAAACTACCACAATCAAAAAGAAACCCGAGACTATGTTTTGGTTGGGGTTTCTTCTTGCAGCTTTTTTACATTAATGGGTTAGAATGAAATACTTGATTTTTTTTCTGTAGATTTTCTGAAAACCATGCCCTTAAAATATTTACATAGATATAACAAAATAATGTTATCAGAGAGATAAGACACATTCAATCCCTATGAAAAATCAAGTCTCATGACTGACAATGTTTTTATTTAATTAGAAGAAAAAAAAATTAGTGAACTAGACTATGTATTCTGTTTGTCTCTTTGTCACTTCAAGACAGATACTAGAGTAATCATGTTAGGAAGTTCAACTGCATTATATGTATCACATTTCAAATAAAAAGGCAGTTTGGGTTTGTTTGTTTGTTTTTTTCCCCAATAAATAAAAGCCAAGCCAGGTAACAGACGAGGCAGGGATGAGGAAGGAACATGGGACTCAGCTTATGGCTTCACAAAAGTCTTGTGACATCATCTAAACCATGAAGTGCAAAGTCACTCTTTTGCCCTTGAAGGTTTTTCGTATCTCTGAAGAGTAAGAATTTATCCTAGAATCACAACTCCTCCCCACTAGGCAAGTTAATTTGCCATATACCTCACTCTCGGATAACCCCCAGGAAAGTCTTGTCAGGATCAGGTCATACATCTTATTAATTGGCTAGAAGAGTTACTGATAAGAAAGTCTAAGAAAAACTCAGCTGCAAGAAACTCAGGTACAAGGAAGGACATGCTGCCCTTACAACCATTGCAAGGAAGTTATCTAAAAGAAAAGCAAGAATTTAAAGCTACGTTGACTGGACATACGATAGCCTGCATCTAAGAACATGGAAGCTTTAAAAATACTGATTCCTATTAAATACATTCCTAGACCTCTGGGTAGCTACTTCCATATAGTTTATAGGCCATCATTCTCTCACAATTTTAGGAAAGCAACGTCTGTGTACATTACGGAATTATACGGAATCATTTGAGGTCGTGTAAGGGTAGGGTGATGAATTTGCAAGGAGGATCTGCTGCTTTTCTGTCTCAGCAAGCCCAGAGACCTGGGAGAGATGGAAATGCCTGTTCCAGGTGGCAGTTCAGAGCAGCAGATGAATTTACAGAGAACAGCATGGTCACTGCAGCATCTAGCAGAGTGGCGACACTAAAATGCAATCCTGAAATTTGCTCTAACACTATCAAATCAAATACGTCAAAAAAAGAAAACACTATGGCAGAACAAAAAAAAGTCGAAAGTTTCTTGCTTTTAGCTCAGCCTCCCTTGTTGCATCATGGTTATTAGGCAAGAGGACAGATACGAACTCTTTTCCTAGTTATACATTCAGGGTTTCAGGTAATTTTTGCTCTTCTGAAATAGGATGAGGCTGTTACACACAACAGATCATCCCATATTTGAGAAAATAGGGTACCGAACCTTCTTTTCTAAAGCCTACTGTCTGTTTTGCAGGCAAGACACTGATTCACATCGTTGTGGGTTTGAGTCAACATATCTACCCTTAATAACCAGTTCACCTGCAAAATTAAGTATTATCAGCCTAATCCCGCAGGGCAGGCTGATAAGTGGGTAGGAACAGAATGGTCAGTTACTTTACAAATATTTTTTACATTGAATTGTACCTGAAATGATCTTTTTTACCTTGGAACATAAGGTTCTGTTGGAGGAGGGGGTATGTAGAGGTCCTGAAGGGCAGAGCTGTCTCTTTTTGTAGGTGTGCTGATAGTGCTGGATGGCGTAGCAACACTGCTTGTAGGACTTCTAGGAATAAGAGGCTGGTTCAAAAGAGAAAGAAAAACAATCAAGATTATCCTTATATATTATACATTTTTATTTGAAAGCTATAAACATTCTATAGTTCAGAAAGTTAAAGAAATAGTTAACAGTTCTAATGTTTTGTGTGCTTTTAAACTGACTGAAAAACCACTCACCCTAAGGAGACAGATCTGCGAATGGACGTGTATTGCACTTATAAAAATGACTCCTCTGATTACATCTTTCTCCCTTTTGCACAGCAAGATTATTGCAAATGCCCATAAAAATAGTAATCAGTAGGGCCACTGGTGAAATCTTAATGAGCAAATAACATACAAAATCCAGTGAATTCCTTAATTAAACTAACATTGTAAAGAAAGAGTCTAGTGTTTACAGTAAAAGGTGCATAAGCAGGCATTAAATTGAATGTCATCTCCCTCCATCTGCTCTACAGCTTAAGAATTAGCTTAAGTAAAAGCTTCAGTTTATGTCTGCAGATACTGTAAAATCAGGTACTGCGTCCTCAGAGCACACACGCTATGAGACAGAATAAACTGGAGATTCTTCTTCTTCTTCTTCACTCCCCTGGGCACACTCCTCACAAAGTAACATTTACTCACAGGTAAATAAATTGTACACTCCTTGCAGAAAAATCATGCATTCTAGTTATCGTTCCAGTCCAAACAGGATCCTTCCTCTTAAACACATCTCCCTCTCTTGTGAATTAGGCACCCCTTTTTCTTCCTCAACTATCTTGGCTAGCTAAATAATGACCAACCATTTGAAGACTTTATTAAATCACTGTAGGGCTGGAAATCACAGAAAGATTTTCTAATAGTCTCTATACAAATGCAGAAAAATGAAATGAGAAGAAAACTTTGCTTTAGTCTACTTAATAATATGTCTGCCTAATAACAAAAGCCTTATGTTGCCTTGGCTTGTGTGATAGGTAAACTCATGCAGAAGAAAAAGAAAAATGGCAAACCAGCAAGTACAACAGTATCTTCATATATCCTAACATTAGTCTAATATTAAACAAATGCTGAGTTTTGCTTTGAAAGAGTTCTTTCCCCTCCATCTTTTTGGAAGGGAAAGCCTTGAAGAAAGAAGCATTGGGATTAAAGACAGTTCACCATACCTATAGCTTCTGACCTAAGTAACTACTGGAGGACACAAACATTTCACGTTGTATTGATAGTAGAGAAGCTCTAAATACTGACTGAACAAGTGCGGAGGAAGAACCTTCTGTCAGCACTATTAAGAATACTTTGTGACAGACCAAGAGGGCATTCCTGTGCAGAATAATCAGTTCTCATTTTCTAGATATTAGTCTTGGCACTGTAGCAGTATACCTATACTGCAGAAAACCTCGAGTTAAACAGCAGGAACTTTTTCAAAATGTTGGCCTTTCATAAGCTAGCAATGAGGCATTCAAATTTATGCTTATCAAGAAAAGCCCCCACCATTGCATTACTTTTCTTCAATCTGTATGCAAGAATAATGCATGCCACCTAGGAAACATCATCCTTTAGCCAGTTACTGCCTTGTTTTAGGAACAGAGCTGCGTTAGATGTTGTTTATCTCAAACAAAATAAAATGTATGCTTAAAAGTCTCTTGCTAAAACTTTGCAAATTCCCTTTTAGAGCAACAGCTATAAACTGACACAAGTTTTCTCTTTCTGAATGTTAGAAAACCACCTCCTGAAAAACAGTGATACTGCTAAATTGCTTCCTTGCTCGTTAGAGTTAACGTGAATATTCTGTAGCCAGGCCAATGAAGGACTGCCAGTATTTACAGGAAGTGAGGGAGAAAGACACACACACAAAACCAGACAGATAAAAGACTTCACAACCACTAAAAACAAGACAGAAGTCTGCAAAAATAAGAATAAAGTTGGTGGCAAAACTGGGTAAAAAAGAAAAAACTAAAAAAAAAAAACAACCCTCTTTCAGAGAAACAAAAATCTTATCCTTTAAATTTTCACTGTGACACCGTAGCCATGGATATTCTTGAACCACTTACGAATACACTGGTTATTTCCTTTCTGATACCTTGCACTTCTATGACAAGAACACTTCGTGGCTTGCTGAGTAGCCTATAGAATTAATTTTCTTTGTAAGTCAAAAGACTTGTGTGACCCAGACCCTGTTTACACTTGTTAAGCCCAGGCTGTTGTTGTTCATGGCTCATACTAGCAAGAGCACTGAGAGGAAGGCAAGCTGGGTAGATGGATTTGCTCTTCTCCACTCTGGCTGGGGAAGAAGACAGTCCTTTACTTTTCCTGCACGAATAGGTAGATAAGAGGAAAGGGGCCCTAGAGACTAGCTTGATGCTAATCAATGGGAGTTTATGGTTTATGTCACATAAGGAAAATCATGCTCAAGCATAGCAGTGATCTGGACTCACAACAGGTTGATGAGCCTTTGGTGGTCCTGAGCACCTGCTGGAGGGCTAGAGGACACAGGTAAAGAATTTCCCTTGTGTTACAGCCTGGAATACCTGGGCTTAACTATTTAAATACTAATGATATGGGGCTAATTTCTGAAAAAACATTTTTGCTAAGTCTGACGATTCTACTGGGTGACTTCACACCTCACCGGTCTCTGCTAAGACACAGCCCAGAGATACAGCTCAGTTTGTCCTCCAGAACAGTTTGCTGGAAGATGCTGGAAATCAGTTGAGGTTTGTGCATCTTTGACAAATGCGTATTTTGGTTCATCTTTTGGCTTGGCAAGGTAGTTAGAACAGCGAGTGCAAGAGGAAGAAATGGTATTCACAGAAGAACACACGTTACCCAGCTACCTGAAAGTAAAAGGTTTCCCTCAAACTGTTCCCATGTCAGACGCTTTCAGAGGTGAAATTGTAGTGCAATTAGTGAGAGTCTGAACGACTGTGGTATCTCACAGTATGGCAATGTGGGTAGACCTTCCCAGGGCACCTGGAGCTCCCAAGGGGATAGAAACTGTAATACAATCTAGAACAAGTAGAAGCACAATCCTGCAGGACTGTCTTAAAACATACTAGGATGTCTCGTATCTTTTCCATATTTGGGTCATATTGCCAAAGTCAACTCTTCAGCTTATTTCCACAAAATCAGAAAAGCTGTGTAACTAGACAAAAAGGAGAAAACCAAATTTAAAAATAGGTCACCACTTTTTAAAAAAAAAACAAACATATTTATCACCACTTCACCAGTAAATCAGTAGCTCAGTAAGAACTGCTACACGGTAAAAGCATTCAAATGGTCTCTCCTGGTAGTAGCTCAACACACTGAGAGCATTGCTGTAACTACCACCTTGTAGTGTAGGAGTTCAGCTTTCATTTTATAAAGAATTAGAAGTCTTCAGGCCCTCCTGGTTGAAAAGAGAGCCTTCAGAAAATGGCCTGCAGGTATGATGCATCCACATGGCATTTTGCACTGCAATTTAGAGAGACCCCAACCATTCAGTTCAGGTCAATCTGTGCATCTGCAAGTAAATCAGCTCATGTAGCTCGCCAGTTCAATAGCAGCCATTCAGTGGACCGTGTGCAGGCACACTGAACAGAAAAACACATGGAACTCCATTCAAGTATTTCTGAATTGGATGCCTTGGAGATCAGTGTTATCCCTGAGTTAGTTGTCTTCCCAGGACTAGAGCTTTTTCCCGCTGCAGTCCCTTTCGGTAGGCTGGCCAGGGCAAATAGGATTGCTGAAACAGCAATAAAACTAGAAAGTTTTCAGGTCCAAAGAGTTAAATACGTGACCCATGGGAATGGCCTGACAGAGACAGTTTAGAAGTTACAAAGCAAAACTGGAATAGCCTCAAAAATGTCGCGCAAAAGATCCTGCATCAATCTTAACCCACAATGACAGACACAAAATCCATATTTCAATACAGTTTGGAGTACTATTTCTCAAACATTTTGGATGCACCATCTTCCTTCAGGATAATTAGTCTTCATGGCCCCTTTCCCAAATTGTCAGTTGGCCAGGGGACAGCTAACCAACTATCTTTACTTACAGCAGCTCAGTTTTTCTAACACAGGGAAATAAGGAGTCCCCGTACGTACTGACTGATAGCACACAGACACTTGAGTCCCCGCGCTCCTCCAGAAGCGGTTCTGTCCCCGGTTGGCTCTGCCCTGCGGTCCCTAACTTCCTCTGGCTACCAGGACCTATTGCTGCTTTTGCCATCCCCAATCCTGAAGGAACGGAGGGTCCCCCCAGTAAACCAGCGCATTATTTTTGCTTTTTCTCTCTAAACAATGAAAGTAATTAATATTTAATATATACTATCTAAAATTCTTTTTAATGTTTTTTTAAAAACACTTTGAACCTTTCATTAACTCCCTTGGAAGCTGCAATATATAGTTTGAGAAACATTGCTCCAGAAAGAGACACAATTTTTAAAAATATAAGCAAAACCAATACAAAATTTTAAGTGGTAATATCTTTATACAGTATTTGCATCAGTAAACAGATTTTACTCCTAATATATTTTTCATATTGGATCAAGGTTATGACAATTTATTGAACAGAATGCTTCTAATAAAATAAACTTTTTATAAGACCAACCATGGCATGAAGTAATGAAATACTATAACTAATTCACACGCTGTAGGAAAACCCAGTCAGAATCCATTTTAACAGTGCTGCAAAGAATGCCCGGTTCCCATGTAGTTAAAAGGCAATTAAGCAACTGAAGAGCAAACAAGTTAGTATTTTATTCAGATTTAATGATTAAAAAGTGTGAGGTCATTCATTCTAATCATAAATGAGGAAAACGGAATATAGGATTGTCTCTAGATGAATGAAGAAGGCCATATAATCAAGTAAGGAAAACTACTAAATAAAAATAATAAAAGTAGCATTTTCTCTCAAACCAAGGACTGTTCTTATTGCTGCTGTTGCTTCTTAGGAGGCTGAAAAGCTGAATATATCACAGTGCAGATATGATGCATATCTAATCAAAATAAAGTCTGTTTAAAAAACTACAGGTACTGAAATATTGGTGGTTTTGTAACAGTACAATTTAATCA